CACCTTAACCTATATTCACCTTGTAGAACTCCTTGTACCTGTACCATATCCTGCGCGTCAGGGTTTTTCATCCAAGTCGCCTTCTCCATATTGAGCAGTTTCCAAATCACATTTTGCTTCTTCCCGTCGCGCAGCCACTGCGTAAATTGCGCAATTTGGAACTGGGTCGCCACCTTTTCGGTCGTCGGCACGTGTCGGGCAGCTTTGAGCATCTTGGCCAGCGCTTCGTCTCCATAGAATTTGGTGAACGTCTTGATCATTGTCGTTCCCTTGCCGCGATTCAACTCGTTGTACTTACCCAAATAGGTTATCCAAAGAGCCAAATTCGGGTTAGTGAGCAGTTTATCCACTTTAACATCAAGCTGAAGCATCTTGAAGGCATCGTCGGGAGAGAACTTCTTGGTCCATAAGGTCAATTGTGCACTTTGTAGCTCCTTTGCGATCTCCTCAGTCGACGGCACTTTTTTCGCTGCCTCCAACACCTTCGCCAGCTCCACGTCGTCAACGTTTGGACGGTTGTTGATTCCTGTGCTGGTTTCTTTGCGTCCAATTTGCCCACGTAGCCAACCCAAGTCTCCAGTTTCGGGTTGGAGAGTAGTTTATCCACCCCAGCATCAAGCTTGAGCAGCTTAAAAGATTCGTCGGGAGACAGCGTGTTTTTCGGTCGATTCTGTGCCACTGCGTTCTCAAGCCACAATCTCACAAACCTCATTCGTCGGACACGTGGGTTCGCTTCCCGGAAGATCTTGGCTAAGGCCTCGTCACCGTAGTGGGCTGTCAGTACAGACGCCATCACCTTGTTTGCGTCATCCTTCTTTAGTAACGTGGGGACATAGTTGTACCAAGTGTTCAACTGTGGGGTCACGAAGAGACTGTCCCCCGCCTGTTCGAGCTTCAGTAATACGAAGATGTCCTCAGCACTCTTACCCGCCATTTTCCAGGCCTGTCTCTGCTGCCGAGCCAACACGGCTGGCAATTCGGCTTTGGCCTCCAACGTTCAGCGCCA